AAAAAAAAAAAAAAAAAAAAAAAAAAAAATGTTTCCTAATAGCCTGAAATTCTAAATCAGTTGAACCAGTGTAGTTGATGTTTGGAAGACCATGACAGTGAGAGCCCTGAACTTCCCCATTTGCTGTTACTATGGATGCATAAATATAGAGGAGACATGGCCTGAGTCATTGTTCTCTTAATGATCTGGACAGGATTTTTTATTATTTTATTTTGTATTTATGGTATTTTTTTCTGGCATGTGTGTCTGTCTGTCTACCTGTGAGTCACAACTGTGCCTGGGATCCTGAGAGGCTGCAGAAGGCATCAGATCCCCTGGAACTTGAGTTTCAGATGCTCATGAGCAGCCCACTGTGGGTGCTGGGACTTACACTCTGGTCCTTTGCCAGAGCAGCGAGGACTGCAGCCCCACTGTCTTTGTTTCCAACTTGCTCAAAGCTTTGAAACGAAACCTCACACTGAGACACTGATGTCAGGAAACTTTAGGCCATTTTGCTTTGTTTACTGCACTGGGAGGATTGAACCTAGCAGTCTCTAGGTCTGCGTCTGTCAGTCACGTGACCAAGGATTTGACTGTGGAAGAGCTTATTCATCATGATGCCAGGCATGAGACATCACACACATGCACAGGTGTGCGTGCACGCACACACGCTACACACACACACACACACAGTTTTTACACCCCATGATGGACTGCCAGCTGCCATGGGCTGGCCACGGTATCCTCTGTGTCAAGGGTTCTCAGCCACCCACACCCCAGCGGATTCTAGAAGCCACAGCTGGGTGACAGCTGGCTCCTTGCAACCCTTCTGTGCCCAGCAGTGCTGCTCTCCACAGAGACTCTTGAGCTTTGAGCCATTGCCAGCCCTGGAGGACAAGGGAAAGAAGAGTAAGAAGTAATTTAGTTAAAAATGGAATCCTTTCTTTTGAAAATCGGTTATTGCCATGGTCACTGTGACACAGTGCTGCTTCTGTGGGAGCAAGGATGTCTGGAAGAAAAGTTTATTGTTGACTGTGAAGGTTTAATCCCCTAGTTTGCTCAGGGTCAGAACAAGAGGAAACGAACACCCTTGTTTCTTGGGCTTTCATTAGATAGTTGACGAAGGGAAGGCCGTCCAAATTGGAGGAAAATGAGGCTGATCTGGATTAGAATCCGAGAAACTGCGTTTAATGACTGCAGCTCTGCTGTGAACTTTGCATAACCTTGGACAGGTCCCTGACCCCCTCTGAGTTTAGACCCAGGGACCCTCGGCCGTGGTTGGTGGACTTTGCTCACATTTGCCCTCCCTGGGGGACTCATTTGCCACTAAAGTCTTCTGTCCTGCCCTGGATTTTAGCCAGGCTTCAGAGCTGTAGTTACCTTCCCGGGAAGCATGCCTGGGCCTGGTGAGAACTCTTGCTGAGGCAAACACACTGGGAATTGGATTTCCAGGGCTCTGCCTGAGGGATCATATGGGTGAAAACCTGCCAGTGACACCTGTGGTGTTAAATTGACATGGTGTGAACTACTTAATGGCCCCTCTTTGTTCCCTTGTGTTCTTATAAAAACAGGGCTCCCAGAGTAAAGGCGCCTTTCCATCCAGGTGACTCTCACGGTGGGGTACCTGCTGTGCTCAGCAGTTTTAGAGTGAGCCCATTGTTCTGCCATGAGTGGCCGCCTGGCTTCTCTTCTGTCTGAGACTGGGGGTGCAGTCCTCTCTTCAGGAGGACTTGTGAGCTGTCCCCACAGAGGAGGACTGCTGGACACTAACCTGGTGCTTCTCCGGTGTACAGTGGGAGGTGTCTGTTTGAGGTGGGAGCTTCCCTTGTGGGGTCTGCTGATGTGTTAGGTGTGAGTGGGAATCCAGCCTCCCCCACTTCCCTCCCAGGCTGTACTGTCTCTTCAGCAGCTCTGGAAGTGAGCTCTGGCTTGATTGCTGCAGCTGCTCTGTGATTATTCTTAACTTGTCTTTAAACACGTGGGCACCAGGGCAGATGAGCAGAGGCTCTCTACAGCCCCTCCCTGTGTCTCCAGCACTGTGGTTTTACCAACTTTGCTCTAATGCCAGGACTAGCTGAGGACCCCCGATGCTCACCTACCCCGAGCCCTGCAGCTGGTGCATTTCCCACGAGGGAGGCACTTACCTGCTTGAATCGAGACTTCTCCGTAGACAGAGCTGCTGTTCACCCACAGAAACTCGCGTTGCTAGTTATCTACTCTCAAGACGGTTGGAGGCACCTGAAGTCATCCAATAGAAAGCTGGCTTTAGGGCGTCTGTGGAGAAGATAGTCTCACAAGCTGGCTGTGGTAGCTCATGCCTTTAATCCTGAGCCTTGGGAGACGGAGGCAGAGGATCAGCCTGGTGTGCCCAGCAAGTCCCAGGCTAGCCAGGGCCGCAGCAGCAGAGGAGGAGGAAAGGGGCGACGAGGACAGGCCATTTAAGTGTCTGGAGGTGGAGGAAATGTCAGGAAGCCTGGAGAAAGGGCAGTTGCGGTGCATTCTAGGTAACAACTGCTAGGAAAGTATTCTCACAGAGACACTGTGGGGGAGGCAGAGAAGAGGGGCCTGGAGTTTATCTTATTTTTTTAAAGGACAAAATGGGGCCAAAAAAAAAGGTTTACTCATACTGTGGAGATTTCCCATACAGGAATTGTTCTTGGCGTTTCTCTTGCCAAGTCAAAGTACATTATCAAGAAAAGGATTTGACTCACAGGTGGGCTACCAAAAAGCGGCTCCATCTGTCTGTTAGCTTCTGGTTCAGGGGCTTCAGCTGCGTCCCAGTGGGCCTGAGGGAAGAGCAGGGGGTGCCGGGCTCACGCGATAACAGCCCTTTGCTGTAGTGCCGCATAAGCCAGTACTCCACTCAGAGAGGAGTCCTGAGGACCACCCACCCACCGGGCCCATCCCTGCCGCACTGCACGTCAAGCTTCTGGTGTGGTAACCTTTGGGGCATGCGTCAGAGCACACAGTCAGCTCAGAAAAGCTCCTGGGAGTCCGCAGGTTCTCTTTCCTGCTTCGGCCTGCCCTGCAAGGTTGTGGGAATTGGAGCTTTGTTGTGTACCACCCGTCTCTGCCAACGGATCCTGGGTGTTTCTGTCTCCTAGGCCCTGGCTGTGAAACCCAGGACCCAGAGTGGTGTCTCCCGGGAAGAGGACGAGCACCCATATGAGCTGTTGCTCACAGCAGAGACCAAGAAGCTGGGGGCCTCAGACGGAAAGACTAAAGGTATTCCCTCCATGGCACAGGGACGGATGGCGGGAGGGCGGGTGCTGCAGGTGTGAGTCACGCAGAAGTCTGGGGCCCCATGGTTGTTCTCGTCAATACCTAGACTCCATGCTCTTGGGTGAATGGGGACACAACACTCCCACATGTGCAGCCAGGGCAGGCGAGGGCACCCAGGTGGCAGCTGTGGGAGGGAGACAGCAGGCACCACTGTGGAGACTGATTGGAGCCTGTGGCGCTAGCCTAGCAAGCTAGGTTGTTCAGGCCCATGCTGATGGCAGGGTGGACTCCGTGATTCCTGACCTTGGGACAGTATGTTCCTTGTTAGGGTCGTGATGGGCTGTCATCTATAACTACAGTGCTTTGTCACTGTGGCCCACCTATATTGCTTCAGCAAAATCCATTCTGGAATTAAGTTCCAGCCCTGCAGAGGGAGGATGCATGAACACCAGCGGACTGAAGGGCAGTGTCTGGAGGGAAGCTGCCTGTCCCTGCTCCCCACACTTACAGCTATGAGGTCCTCCGCCGTGTATGCCTAGTGCCTCCTGTTGACTCTGTTAGTTCACAGCCCTTCTGTTTCACCTCGGCCAGATACCCCAGCACACTGCCTCCCATCCTGCTCAGAGGCCTCCCCTGGATGTAGGAACTTCGGTCATAGCCATAGTAGTTGTGTGTGTCATGTAGTTTCCGTTGGGAACTTCCCTAAAAGGTTGTGATTTGGGTGCAGTGAAATGCATCTGTGTTTGTGCACAGTCTGTGAGTAACTGCAGCCAGAAACAAAATAGGGGACGGTCTCTGCACAGTGAAGGGTTTTCCTCTGTCCCTCTGCTTCCACTTGCTCCCTGCCTTGGGGACAGGGCATCTGATGTCTGTCCCAACGATTTTTCTTTTCTAGAAGGTTACATGAATGGAGTCTGTTAATGGAGGCTGCTTGTTGGTTCCCGGCTGCTCAGCCCCGAAATTATCACACAGAAACTGTATTAACTAAATCACTGCTTGACCCATTAGCTCTAGCTTCTTATTGGCTAACTCTTACATCTTAATTTAACCCATCTCCATTAATCTGTGCATCACCACGAGGTCATGGCCTACCAGCAAAATTTTAGCATGTCTGTCTCTGGCGGAGCTACATGGCTTCTCCTGACTCTGCCTCCTTTCTCCCAGCATTCAGTTTAGTTTTCCCCACCTATCAACCCTATCAGGCCAAGCCAGTTTCTTTATTAACTAATGGTATTCACAGCACACAGAGGGGAGTCCCACTGCAGGAGTCATTCAGCGTGCACCTCTGTCCTGCACAGTGCATCTGAGATCCGTCCATCCTGCATTTTCCGTCATTTCTTCCCTCTCATTGCCGAGTTGTGTTCCTCTATAGAGGTGTGCCACAGTTTATCCTTTCCCCACCCAGGGCCAGTGAGTCATTTTCAGTTTTTGACAGTTTCAGGTAAAACTCCTATATGTTACCATTTTTCATGTAGGCGCAGGTTCTCATTTGGCATCCACTCAGCCACGTGCAGATGACACACCATTCTGGATCCCCTGTGCTGTGCTGTTGTCCCCAGGCCGCAGGGACATCCGCCTTCCCCAGCAGAGCGTCTGTGTGTGCCCTGGCCTCGGTGTCCGCGGACACCTGCTGCTCTTTCTATTACCGAGTTGTGAGATCTCTATGTATTTTTGGCATAAGTTCTTTTTTTGTCTTTTGAGACAAGGTGTCGCTCAGACTGGCCTCAAACTCATGGCAGTTCTCCTGCCTCAGCCTCCCAGTGCTGTCATTACGTATGTGCCTCGCCATGCCTGACTGAATTGGAATTACTTTATTTTTATATTCATTTGTTTTGAACATTTTTCTTTTCTAAGATTTTGAGATAAGGTCTTATTATTATATCCCAAGTTGACCTTGAACTCTCAGTGATTCCCCTGCCTCAACTTCCCAGTTGCTAACTAGGCTCACAGGCCTGCACCACCAGACTGCTGACTTCTTTATTGAATGTACTTTCTTCTCAGTGTATAACCGCACTTACCATGGCCTTTGGGAGTCTTCATTTTAGAGAAGCTCTTTTTTGATGGATAAGATCGTGCATTGGGGAGGGGTATGCCTGATCTTGCGTGTGTATGCATGTGTGGGTCTGTGCAGAGATCGGAGGTTGGTGTCAAGTATCTTCCCATGTGGTTTCCACTATTTATTTACCTTTGAGACGGTGTCTCGCTGTGTAGTTCTGGCTGACTGAAGCTTCTTCATACACCAGGCTGGCCTTGAACGCAGATCCACTGCCTCTGTATCACTAGTGCTGGGATTAAACGCTGGTGTCACCACACCCTATCTACCTTATATTTTGGAACAAGGTCTCCTGATGAAGGGGCTGCTGACGGGGCTAGACTGACTGACGCTGAACTGTTGGGTCCCCCAGCTGTGCTCTCCCGCCCTCAGCCAGTGCTGCTGCCGCAGATACCACACTTGGCATTTTCTAGGATGCTTAAGATTCTGACTCGGCTCCTCCTGCTCACACAGGGGGCACATTCTTAACCGGGCCATCCTCCTAGCCCCAGGAGTATTCTTTTCTGTACTTTCTTCTAGAAATGTTCTAACTCTGAGCACCCTTGACGCCACATCAGACTGCTCACAGCACCTTGTCACGCTGCAGGAATCCAGTGCCCTCTTCTGATCTTTCTGGGCACCTACACACACAGGGTATTCACTCACACAGATACGTACATCTAAATTATAAAACAATTCTTCAGAAAAAAATAAAATTAGCAGTAGGGGTTGGGTCAGCCAGCACATGCCTTGCAAGTATTAGGCCAAACATGGAGATAAACATGAATTTTTTCTTCATTCTTTTTTTTTTTTTTTTTTTTTTTTTTGAGACAGGGCTTCTCTGTGTAGCCATAGCTGTGCCCTGGAACTCACTCTGTAGACCAGGCTAGCTTGGAGCTCACAGAGATCCACAGCCTCTGCCTCCCGAGTACTGGGATTTGGGCGCCATAAGTGCCTGGCTGATAATGTGAATCTCTATTCCCAGTGTCAGGGAGGTAGAAACAGGAGGGCCTTCCAGCTGGCCTGGGTGAACCCCCAGGTTCAGTGAGAGACCCAACCTCCCCAGACGTGGAATACACCTCAGTAATAGTACTGATGATCTGTTTGTGCACACACGTACATCAGTGTGAAAAGGCACACAAACACATATGCTTGAGGAAACAAAACTGGCAAATGCATTAACTTCTGAAGATAGTCTACCTACTTAGCTTCTGAGATGCCTATGTTTTTTTTTTTTTCAGGTTTTTTTTTTATATTAAAATTAATGGTGTCTGGCTGAGGTGGTACAAACTGTTGTTCCATCATTTGGAAGACAGAGGCCAGAGGGTCTTTTAAATCTGGGAATTCAAGATCATCCCGAGTGTGACATAGTGAACACCCCCAGCTCAAAAAGGAAGAAAATAAAACAGTGGCTGTAGAAATGCTTGTGTCAGGTGGTGGTGCACACCTTTAATTGTCTCTGTGAGTTCAAGGCCAGCCTGGTTTACCGAGTGAGTTCCCAGCCAGCCAGGGCTGCACAGAGAAACCCTGTCTCAAAAACAAGAAAACGAAAGACAGGGAAATGGAAAGAAATGCTTCTTATGAATCCATGTTGTTTGGTGGGAGCTTCACTCCAGCCCCTCACATCCATATCCAAAGAGTCTTGAATGTTCAGATGGAAGCTCCACCCCAAGCCCCCTCCCCTGGAGCTGCCTCAGTTCAGACTCCGCCCCTGAGAAAGCACCCCCAAATGATGACCCCTCCCAAAGATGCTCAAGACCACTCCACCCGTGGTTTTCCGGTCTTCCTTTTCCGTTTCCTCTCTGGGAGGCTGGAAAGCCATCTGGGAGCATTTGTATCCATTAAACCTGGACTTTTTCTAATTTGGTTTGATTTGGTCTCATGTGGATTGCTGCGTCGGCGGAGAGGTTTATTGGGGTGCGGAAACTTCCTCGTGCTGTGGTGTGGTGGCCCTGAGAGGGGAGGCGCTGGAAGTTCACGAAGGCTGGGAGGGCAGCAGGAAGAGTGGGGATGAGGCCCGGGCATAGCCGGCCTGTGCAGCTCTCACACTCCATCCGAAGGAGGAAAAGGCAGGAGCAGGAGAGTAGAGCGATGGACTAATCATAAAAGCACATGGGAATGACGGCAGGAGCTTGCAGCCAGCCTGACATGCAGCGCCTGTAAGAAGCTGTGAGGTCTTATTTAATAAGCAGTGGGCCACCACCCCTGGAGGAGCATGCAGAATAGTTGGGGAGTCTGGAGATGCAGAGTCAAACTCAGTGGGGACACAGACAAATGGCTCGGTCACCCTGGCACTGTGTGTGAGGCAATTTGAACTACGAGGATCCCTGCTCACCTCAGGGCCCTCCATCTTGGGCAGGGATGCTGGGCCTGTGGTACAGGAGAATTTCCACCAGATGTTATTCACACCCACGGACCTGGAAAAACCCAGCCATAGGAGAAAATGTTAGCAGGTCCTTGAGGCAGAAAAGGCGTGTTCTCCTAAAGCACCAGGCCCACATGACATTTATGAACATTTTTGACAAGTGGGGATGTCCCTCTGTGGTTTGTTGAGCACTCCGTGCTCCCATTAATGTTTGACTGTGCACTGGACATCCCAGGCCTGTGACCACTCAGAATTGCACGACAGCTTTCCTAGGCTGTCGCTATGGGTTTGATAGCACATAGGAAAGCAGCCAGGGGATCCAGCGGTGGTCTGTGAAGTGGAGGTTTAGCGTGGGCAGCAGTGGCTGATCTGCAGGCGGGGGTGCATGTGTAGTGTCTGAGTTCTAAGGGTTTCCAGGTGCAGGTCTCCCTCTGCTCCCAAACGTGAGCCTTGGTGACTACAGCAGCCTGGTCTCTCCCATTCTCAGCGTGGCATCACTGCTATTGGCTATCAGAATTCAGAAAGAAAACAGTGCCAGTGATCAGTCCCTATCTTTACCTGAAAGTCCAGGCTGGCTTTTCATAGCCGAAGTGTGGGAAGTGTGCA